CTTCACGAGAGGGCTTGAACTCACGAATCGTAAGATCGTGACCCGAGCTGACTTTGGACACCCAATGACCTGAGCCACTCAGGTGTCCCTAACAGCAGCATTAGTTTTTAAAGTCAATTCCCTGTTGTTAGACATTTAGGTGATTTCTAGTTTTACGTTGTTATAAATAACGTTAATTATTTATAATTGATGTTTCAAAAGATACATGAGTTTTTAATACTTTGCTCGGTTTCTGGACAGTTAAGTGTTGGAGACAGACCGCTAGGGCTAAGGAGAATTTGCGTGATAAAACGGGGTGGTTCAGGGAGACAAACGCTGGCCTGGGAGCCAGAGACAGGGATTTCAGTGTCGGCTCTGCCGTGACCTGCTGTGTGACCTTAGTTTGCTTGACCTCTCTGAGTCCCCCAGATCTCCCCTGTAAGGCGAGGGTTTTAGACAGGTTGGGGAGCATGAGCGGGGAATTCTTTCCACATTGCTCCCCAGGCTGGCGGGCTGTTACCAGGCCCTGGATGGAGGCAACACGGCGGATGCGCTGGTGGACTTCACAGGTGGCGTTTCCGAGCCCATCGACCTGACTGAGGGTGGCTTTGCCAATGATGAGGCCAAGAGGAACCAGCTCTTTGAGCGTGTGTTGAAGGTGCACAGCCGAGGAGGCCTCATCAGTGCCTCCATCAAGGTGAGAACACAGAGGCAGCCCTCCCCATCATCAGCCCTTACTGGGGTGTCCCAGGCAGAGCCCCTGCTCAGACTAGCTCATAATCTGGACGTTCAGCCTCATGGGGGGAGGGGAGCAGCTGGAGCGTGCAGCCCCCTCCCCGGTGCTGGGCAGCACGAGCTGTAGGTCCCTTGCCCTGACCCCCTACACTATGAAATACCTTGCTGTTTGACCAGCAGCCCCCTTTTACGGGCATCTTGTATTGGGGCAGTAGGTGTCTGTGCATCTGAGGGTCCCTTAGTCAGGGTCGCTACAAGGCGACTGGAAGAGGGGAGGGAGACTCTGCTCCTGGCACAGGCCCAGGTGCCTCAGGAGGATTGTCTTATTTCATCGACTGCTTTTATTTCAGGTGGGGGAGCTGGGGCACCAGTGCAGGCACCAGTGGTGGGTCCGTAGTCTGGCTCTCTGGAAAAAGAAAAAGCCCTGCTTTGTAGCGTTTGCTGATTTCTTTGGCGTAAATGCTCCCACCATGTTGATTTCAAGCTAATGTTTTAACAGTTGTACAACTGAGCCTGTGCCAGTTAACGCCAATGCACTCCTGGGCCACCCCACTTTAGCTGCCCCATGGGGGCTTTGTGCACACAGAGCCCACCCGCCTCCCTTTGTGTGGGGCTGCCATTCCTTCCCTGTCCTATAGAGAGTGGTGTAGGCACACACCATCCCTGCCCCTCCAGCTAGAGCCTGACCAGACCCTGCCTCTCTGGGCAACTGTGTCCTCCTGCAGGCAGTGACAGCAGCAGACATGGAGGCCCGCCTGGCATGTGGCCTGGTGAAGGGACATGCATATGCCATCACTGATGTGCGCAAGGTGCGCCTGGGCCACGGCCTGCTGGCCTTCTTCAAGTCGGAGAAGCTGGACATGATCCGCCTGCGTAATCCTTGGGGCGAGCGGGAATGGAACGGGCCCTGGAGTGACACGTGAGGCCCGGGGATGGGGGTGCGGGCACAGGGCAGACCCCAGGTGGGTGGGCCCCAGTATGAGAGCTTGGGCAAGGACAAAGGTGGGTTTCCTAGAGGAGGTGACACCCAGGCTGGGCCTTGAAGGATATGGGAGGAGGATGACATTGGGAGACTTACTTTGCAGTGGGCACGTGTGTGGGGGTGGGTGGGGGGTGGATTCTGCAGGGAAGACACCTGGAAGTAGGGATAAGCTGATTCCTGTAGAGGACAGAGAACCCAGTCTGGCGATGAGTGGGAGAGAAAGCAGGGAGGGAGGCCACCAGGGGTGAGAATGGGGGTGACTGCTCTGTGTTTGGCTCATGGCCCTGGTGAGGTGAGGGCCGGAGCCAGGCCCCTGGTGAAGGAGCCCCCTTCCTTGAAGGTCATCCCGCCCTTCCCCCGCCAGCCTGCAGCCTTGTTCTCAGACCTCCAGCCCCTGGCATGGTGGCAACCCACGCTTACCAGACAGGCTTTTTGGAGACGGGCTGGGCCTGGCCCTGGGTGCCCCCAACTATACCCACACTGATGGAGACCTGGTTCTGGGCTGTCCCTCGGGCCTCCTCTCCCTTGCCAGGGTGGCCCTGGTGGGGTCCCTCCTCTTACGCTCCTCCCTCTTCCCTCCCAGCTCAGAGGAGTGGCAGAAAGTGAGCAAGAGTGAGCGGGAAAAGATGGGGGTGACCGTGCAGGATGACGGGGAGTTCTGGTGAGTGTGTCCGTGCCCCACGCGGGCGTCCAGGGCTGGGCGGGGGCCTCCTGTAGCAGGGAGCACCAGATGGAGGGAGGCAGATGCCTCACCACCAACTTGCTCTGTGGCCTAGGACAAATCACGCCTATTTGCTTCTCTGTGAAATGAGTTGGGCAGTAATGGGCCTGTTCATCCCCGTAGTCCCCAGTACCAACCTCCGGGGACCCTGCGCTGCTCCAGCACGCAGGCTGGGCCCTCAGCAAGTAGGCCAGGATGCCGGCAGGTGGGGATACGCGGGGCAGGGGTAACGCTGGCAGCCTGATTGCCGAGAGCTGCCGAGAGCAGCTGGGGAAGAGGAGAGGCCTCTTGGAGTGGCTGCCTCCTAAGCTGGGCCCCAGGGTCAGGGGAGCCCTTGGTGGGCAAGGAGAGAGACCCAGCCCAGTCAAGAGAGTACGCTTAGGTTTGAGAAGAGGGAGTTCAGGGAGGCCAGGGAGGCGAGGGGAGCTAAGGGGGCACGTGGCTTGGGGTTGGGCTGGGAAGATGGCAGCAGCCTTGCTTAATACTGTTGCTGATTGTCACAGCTAGTCTTTGCCGGCTCCCGTCTGTCGGGAGTTGTACTGCGTGCTTTTACTGCATTACTTAATTCCCACGCTACCTCTGTGAGGTGGGCAGCTGTTGTTAGGTTCATTCCCATTTTACAAATCAGGAAACTGAGGCCAGAAGAGATGTGAAGGGGCCAAGTGACGCCACCTCCACACTCACTCCCGTGTGGGTCGTGCTTCAGAGCACACAGGGTGAGTAGGCGGGTGGCCAGCCAGGGGGACCTGCCCAGCCTCGCCCCCTGCCACACCCAGGATGACCTTCGAGGACGTGTGCCGATACTTCACCGACATTATCAAGTGCCGTGTGATCAATACGTCTTACCTGAGCATCCATAAGACGTGGGAGGAGGCCCGGCTGCGTGGCGCCTGGACGCGGCATGAGGACCCCCGGAAGAACCGCAGCGGGGGCTGCATCAATCACAAGGACACCTTCTTTCAGAACCCGCAAGTGAGTGTTTTCAGGGCCCCTACTCCGCCCCTTGGGCAGCCACAGGGGCCCTCGCCACTGCCCTGCATGGGCTCCTGCATGACCTTGGGTATATCCCTGTTCCCCCGTAGGCCTCTGTGCACCTGTCTGCATAGTGGGGGTTGGGTGGGTGTGTTTGGGTGCTCCTGGGCAACCTGCAGATGGTAAAGATGAGGAAGCTCGTCCAGAATTACAAGGACATATAGAGGGAGGCTGAGCTGAAGGCTCGAACCCCTTGTTTCCACACACACGGGCTCCCTTCCAGGGGAACTTGGCCGGATTGGCTCTTCCTCAGGGAGGACCTCTCCCCTGCGCCTCGTTTGTTAGGACCCTGGCAAATGTTTACCTTTCGTTTGGCACCGACTGCGTGTGGACTCAGAGCTGAGCATCCGCGATCTCACAGAGTCCCCCCGCCCCTCAGGCAGCGTAGGGAGCGTAGGCCCATCTCACAGATGAGGGACTGAGGCCCAGAGAGGTGCTGTGACTCACCTGGACTCACACGTGGAACTGAGGCCCGGCTCTGGCCCAGCTTCCAGGAGCCAGCAAGCCTGTCTCCGGCCCGGTCTCACTGCCGTGTCTCTCTTCCCTGACCTTCTCTGCAGTACATCTTTGATGTCAAGAAGCCAGAAGATGAAGTGCTGATCTGCATCCAGCAGCGGCCCAAACAGTCTACCCGCCGGGATGGCAAGGGTGAAAATCTGGCCATTGGCTTTGACATCTACAAGGTGAGGCCAGCTGGGACCCCTGCTCTGGGTGAGGAGAGCGAGGGAGCTGGATTTTAGGCCACCTTGGCGTGGGGGAGAACACTCTAGAATACTCTGGCCACTGCCATCATCCCTGCCATTCTGGCCACAATGGCCGATGCCATGGGCATGCTGTGGCGCGAGCTCTATTTGGAACACCCACAGAGGCCCAGCCTGCCTGGGGTCAGTGGCCATGGAAGCCCTCAGCCTGATTTCCTCCTGCCACAGACCCACTGGCTATTTGGTGGATGGGAAGGTGGTCAGGGCCAGGCCCTGGGAGGCCCCTCCCTCAGGCCTCTGGGTCCCCCTGAGGTGGAGGCCTTGCTGGGCCCGGGGAGGAAGGATCTTGGGCAGAGCCAGGTGGGCTTGCCGCTGGCCGCTCCCCCGGGCCTGGGACCCGAGGCCCTCCTCGGGTTGCGACACCTGGTATGTGATGGCACTTGCCATAGCGGGATGCCACGGGCCTGCCAGACACCGAGAACCTCGGGAAATCACGTGGACGTGCTGGGCACGTGGTCGGAGTTGAGCCCCTGCATTTGAGGCGCTCAGTCACATCATGACACTTTGTTCGTGTCCTTGGGTTGGTACATCCATTGCGTGCTGAGGTGTTGTGACTTTGACATGTCGTGACCTAAAGTGACGTGGCTGTAGCTTACCATGCCACTCGTTCAGGAGTTGTCTGGCATGTCCTGGCAGCTGGTGATGTCATCTCCTGGCCACGTGCTGTGTTGTGGGCAGATAGTGACACGGCCGCTGTTACCAGGGGGCTGCCCGTTGCCCCCCTCCTCCTAACGGCTTTACTGAGATATAACTCACATACTATGCAGTTCACTCATTTAAAGCGTGCAGTGACCTTTAGCACGTTTGTAGGGTTGTGCGGCTGTCACCAGTCGATTCTAGAACGTTTTCATCACCCCAGAAGGGAAGCTCGCACCCTTTAGCCGGCACCGCTCAGTGCCGTCCGGCTCCCCGCCACCGTCCACCCCCGAGCCTTAGGCAAGCACTCGTCTACTGCTGTCTCTGTAAACTTGCCTTTTCTGGGCATTTCGTGTAAATGGATCAGGTCGCTCTTCTCACGGCAGCGAGGGCGCGATGTGCGAGGTAGGTGGGGGGACCGGGGGCTCCGTGCGCACCAGTCTCCCCGCTCCCCGCAGGTGGAGGAGAACCGTGAGTACCGCATGCACGGTCTGCAGCACAGGGCCGCCAGCTCCATCTACATCAACTCGCGCAGCGTCTTCCTGCGGACGGACCAGCCCGAGGGCCGCTATGTCATCATCCCCACCACCTTCGAGCCAGGCCACACTGGCGAGTTCCTCCTCCGGGTCTTCACTGACGTGCCCTCCAACTGCCGGTGCGTGGGGGGCTGGCTCAGGGCCGGGGCTGGAAGGGCCGGATTCCATAGCAGGCCGACCCGGAATCTGCAGAGAGGGAATCTGTTGAGGGTCTGCCCGAGGCGTGGAGCCCAGACCTCCAGCCTCCCTGGGCTGACGTGAGCACCCACGTCCTTCCCCTCCTTCCCCTGCTCCTCTGTCCCAGCCTCTCTCGGCTATATAAAGGGGCAGTATTTCATATGTGCATAGCACTTCACAGTTTACAAAGCTTTCGCTCTCTTCGTTTGCTTTTCCTGGACCCCAAGCGGGGGCCTGACCTTTCCATGTTACAGATCAGAATTGGGGATCGAGGTTTGGGGTGGGGGAGGTTTCCAAGGTCATGACCCCAGTGGTCGAGTTGGCCTAGGCGGACTGCTAGAGCCATCCCCTCCCTGCTGGGGTGCAGGCCCCGTGAGCCCCCACACTGTCCTCCTACCCTGGTAGTCAGGCCCGATTCAGTGCTCCGTGCACACGGTGCAGACCTGGGAGGCAGCACGTGTGGTGGGCTCTGGGGACCTGGGTCCTGCTGGCCCAGGCTCCACCTCTGTCCAGCTGTGGGGCAAATCCCCTCTCCCGTTGAGCCCAGCTCAACGCTTCGTAATCTGTAAAATGGGCGTGATCACCCAGGGCTTTGGGAAGATCACAAATAATACCTGTAACATCCCAGCAGGGGGCTTGGCACACAGTGGGTGCTTAGTAAGTTGCTTTTTCTCTCCGGGAGGACGGGGCTCCCTGCAGTAGAGAGAGAGCAGCAGGAAGCCCGTGGTGGTTTGCCCAGGATGAGCAACGTCTGGACTACATACTGCTCCCCTCCCCTGCCCTCTTCTCGAACCCCCTCACCTTCCATCTCCCTGGCCCCCTCCACCACCTCACCCCTCTCCTCCTCTGCCCCGTACCAGGGAGCTGCGCCTAGATGAGCCTCCCCACTCCTGCTGGAGCTCCTTGTGCGGCTACCCACAGCAGGTGACCCAGGTGCACATCCTAGGGGCTACCGGTCTCAAGGACTCCTCGACGGGTGAGCTCGCCTGGGGAAAGCTCTGGGACCCACCTCCCCAAGGAGATGGCCCATGCCCCCTCCCCACTGCTCAGCAACAGACACCAGCCTCCCAAGCTCTCTTGCTCTCACTGAATGAGCAGACCTTTCCTAACATCCACTCGGGACCCAGCCTTGGAATGAAACTGGGTGCGTAGAGAGGACCGGGCTCTGCTGCCTGCTTTGGGGCAGCTTCCCGTGGGGTGGGGCAGTCCGACACAGGGACAGACAGCTGGGAGGCAGGGCTTACAGAAGGCTCCCTGGAGGAGGTGGCCTTTCTCCAGGCTGAGGCGGCATTAAGATATGAAGCCCGATAAGGCGGGATAGGGAAGAAAAGTGCTCTGGGCAGGGGGAACAGCATGGAGGCCAGAGATGACCAGTCTGCCCCCTCCTGTCTCTGGAAGTTAGGAAGGGAGTCAGGCTGTGCTGTCCCTTCTGAATATATGAACTCCGTCCTCTGCTTTGGGAAGGGGAATCACCTCCCAGACTTCTGTCCCACTGGGTCCTGCCCCAGGCCCCATCGTCACCCCGTGGCCCACTCAATTTCTCTAGGGGCCAACTCTTATGTGATCATTAAGTGTGAAGGGGACAAAGTCCGCTCGGCGGTGCAGAAAGGTACCTCCACACCCGAGTACAACGTGAAAGGCATCTTCTACCGCAAGAAGCCAGGCCAGCCCATCACAGTCCAGGTGAGCCCCACCATCCTGAGGGTCTCCCCTGGACCCCCTGCCTGATGTTTTCCCACTCATGGGGGCTGGGCCCAGGGTGGCAGAGCTTTTGTTGGGGACCCAGGAACACTAAATTCTGGTTCCCACTCTGTCCCTGACATGGTATGCATGGCCTTGGGAATTCTCTTGCCGGCCCTTCCTCGTGCCCCAGAGTGCCCCCTGTGGGGTGAGTTGTATTAGATGGTGTGATTTTGAGACACAGTAGGGTTAGTCTCCTGGCTGGGGACAGTGGTCATCTCTGCCGGCTTTGCCCCCTTGGCTTGGGAGTTGTTCCTTAAATCCCACTGGAAGTGGGTCCACCTGGAGAGGTTGCACCAAGGTGGCATATAGTGGGGGGTGGCTGTTTCCCCAGAGCAAGGGGCCAGAAAGCCACGGTCCTGGACTTGGGCTTTCTTCCCTTCTCAGGCCAAGGTGGCCCGTGGATGTTGATTTTGGGCTCATTAGTGGGAAGTCCTCTGTCCTCCCGGCACAGGCCGGGGCCTCCCCGGGGGGGTGGAAACCATCAGTAAACAAATGCCCAGGTACCCTGGGGAAGCCACTGTAGGATTTCCAAGTTTTCCTAACACTGGGCCCCACTGGATCAAATCACAGACCCATAGCTGTTGGGGCTGAAAGGACTCTTAGGGGCCGTTGATCCAACCCTCGTATTAAACATGGGGAAATCACTTGTCCAAGGTCACCTAAGGTCAGTGGCAGAACTAATAGTAACAGACTACTAGACTGTATATGGAAAGGAGTTTGACAGATAGGAGGAAGCCTGAGGCTCCGGAAGGGGACGGCCTTGCCCAGGGTTCACGGTGAGGCAGAGGCAATGCAGGGCTCCTCTTAGCCAAGGCTTGCACTGCAAGAAAGGGGTTCAGGGCCCTGCCACCAGCACCGCCACAGACCTATACTCCTGTTTCACATGCCCCCCCCCCCCCCCCCCATTTTAAACCTTGTCTTGATCAACCACCGAGTCCTGAAGGACGAATTCCTGGGCCAGGTGCACCTGAAGGCTGACCCGGATGACCTCCAGGCCCTGCACACCCTCCACCTCCAGGACCGCAGCAGCCGGCAGCCCAGCGACCTGCCAGGCACGGTTGCTGTATGTGTCTTCAGTAGCACGTCCCTCACGGCCGTCTGACCCCTGTCCCTCTGCCTGGCCTCCACAGTTTTACCGCCATCTGCATGTCCCCAGCCAGGCCAGGGACTAGCCTGGGAGCCAGGACACTGGGGGCCTTTTCCCAGCTTTTCCGCTGACTTGCTGTGTGACCTTGGGAGGCCTCTGCCCCTCTCGGGGCCTCAGTGTCCCAAGGACCCCGAAGCATTCCCTTCTCACGGAGGAGTCTTCCTGCCTGAGATTTGTGTGCTTTGTTCCCCAGCTACTTACACTGCTAAGGGACTCTATCCGTTGAAAACGTTTTCTCAAGGCCCTGCTGTCTGCCGACGGAGTGCCAACCTGTCACTTGTTTACACACGACCTTTCACGTCCCCAGGCCCCTCTCTTGCCCCTTGTGTCCCGGACCCGCCCCCGTGTCCCAGACTTTGCTTTCTCTGTCACCTACACCTGGTTTTCTAGCCACCTTGAAAGGACTCTTGGCTGTTGCCGGGTTTCTGCTTAGGCTGGAGTTAGGAAAATGTGCAAGTGACAGTCATTCATTCTCTACTCCTGCCCACTTGCCCATTCATTTATTTACTCAACAGAGATTTGCCAAATGAATAAATGATGCCCATGAGACGCCCGCTGGAGCTGGGGCCCTCCCTGCAGCTCTGGGAGACCTGGCATCCACCCGGGGCCTCACCCCTGCCCGGGTCCTCTCAGAGGTCGACGCCCAGACACGGCTGCGGCCTCACCCCAGGTTCCGATTTCACGCCTAGCCTCTGGGTGAAGGCCCCTAGTGGGATGGTGGCATCTTCCTGCCTCCACTGCCTTCATGTCAGGAGGACACCCCCCTTTGGTCGGCCAGGAGGGTGTGGCGGGCATGGGGACCTGAGGGGAGGCACATGCTTTCAGGCCCCCCTCTGCTGCAAGACCTGGGCTTTTCCTGGGAGGAGGCCTGGGGTGGCAGTCTCAGGCCCACTGGGCTCAGATCACTTCTTGGGCTTGGCAGGAGACCGGTAAATCCGTCACCTGACCAGAGGCCCCTCTTCCAACATTCCCTGCAAAATGCAGCCCTCCTCTTGCTGCCTGGACCAAAACGTTCCTTTAGTCCTCAATGTTTTATATTCTTTAGTGTTAATCAATCTTAACCAGGGGTTTTTAAAGGAAAACTGAAAGCCTGAACCCCTTTTTTCATCTTAAACTCCAATTCCTGTGGTTCCCCTGATTTTATTTTCATTCTGCTGGGGGAGGGGGTGAGAAATCACATCTTCTCAGAGGAGGCCTGCAGGTGGGTGAATAAGAGGGTATTTTTTTTACTTGGACGTATCGCAAGCCGGCACCACCCGTGTTCTTGGTGAGCGTTGGCGCCATGACCTGTGTCGGGTCCCTTCTGTGCCCTTCCCTGGCTCCAGACTGGGCACTGTAAATGAAAAAGCCCAGGTGGTTCAAGAACAAGAATTCCTGTGGCCTTGCTGGGAATTCCTTTTGGGCACCCGAATGTTTGGCTCCAGATCTGGCTGTTTGCTGCAGTGTCCTGGCTGGAGGTGCTGGCTTCTTGACTTTGCCTCCTCACTCTGTGGCCAGCTCTATTCCTGTGCCCTGGTCCCCGGGCCGCACGAGGGGCCAGGAACTGAACAAGGAGGACAAGAGGATTCCTTCTCGAAAAGCTGGGACTTGCCCTCGAGAACCTGGGGCTGGGACATGACCACATGACCAGGAGCAAGTCACTGAAACCTGCTGTGCCTCGATTTCCTTTCTGCAAAGTGGGGCTAATGGTTCTTGTTCGTCAGCACTCTCGCTAACAAGTGCTGAATAAGGGCAAAACCGTACCCTTTATGTATCTCTGTATGCGTGCACACTATATCCACTCATGTAATCACTTCCCAGTGTCTTTTTCAAGTGAAGGCTCCCAAGTTGGGGTGGAGACGTGAGGGCCAGCCTGGGGCTTCTGGGGCGGAAACATGGGTCTTTGCTCAGCCATGCCCCCTTGGGCTAGGGGGCAAACCAGGATCAATTGGCAGGCCTATGTGGGCTTCAGTCTGAGGATTGGGCACTGCCTCTTCCCCCCCCAAAATGGGTTTGGCAGCCCTCTCCTTGCTTCCTGCCCCTCTGAGTGGGCCAGGCTGGCTCCTGGCTGGGCGAATGTCCCTGATCCCTGGGCGAGTGAGGATAGATTTCTTCCGGGCTGGGACTGGAGGGTGGGTGGGGAGAGCAATTGCTCTGCTCACCTGATGCACCCTTCAGCCTGTGGGGCCCACGGAGTCCCCATTTGCATCTGGGCAGGGCCTCTGGTCCATACCACCCGGATGTGGGCTTTACTCCCCTCAGGGCCTACCGTGGGGTCAGGAGTGGATACCTGTTCTGTTCTCAGAATAAACATTACTACAGTCCCAGAAAACTTTCTTGTATCTGTCTGTCCCTCTGGGGGTGAGGGACAATGGAGGGGATATTCCCAGGCTTAGGTAGGTGACTGCCCTCTGGTCAAGAGGCTCGTGAGGGAGGACTTGAGAGTTAACAGCTGAGGCTGGGCCCCACTGCCTGCCCGGTGCATCTGTGGGCAGAGGTCATTGGGATCATTCCATCATTGCTTCAGCTGGCCTCATCCCAAGCCCTGTCCCGGGCACTGGGGATGCAGGGAAGCAGCCACAATCCCATCCATTGGGCAGTCTACAAACTAGTGGGGAAGGCCAATGGGAACACTCCAGTCCTAACAAATGCCACCCAGCGAGTGACTGGTAAGGCAGTGGGAGTTCTGGGAGCTTCCAGCCTACCTGGGAGGGCAGGTCGAGGCCCCGATGCAAGTGGGAAATGGAGGCAGGGAGACAGCCACAGGAAGAGAACCTGGGTTTGTGGGGCACAGGTGGATGTGGGAGGCTGTTGAGAGGAAGATGCTGGCAGCTCCAGTCGGGGTTAGGGGCTGGGGAGAAATAGTGGACAGAGCTCAGTGATGACTGGGGTGGAGTGGGGAGTGAGGGGAGATGAATTAAGGCCAATTTGTAGACTTCTGGACAGGACTGCGAGCAAAGGACATTGTGAATTCTGAGCCCCGCTTAGCAGACTAGATGATAGTGGGTGCTGAATACACTGTTGCTGTTACGTCAACTGGAGATCACTGCGGACCTCTCCACTCCATACCACGCTGGGCCCGTCCTCACAGATCAGGCCTGCATTCTGCCTCAGTGTTTCTCTGGGGGGGCTCAGTTTTCGCATCTGCAGGCTGACAGCCTGGGAGGCTCCGCACGAGAGCTGACTGGGGGAGTGGTGGGTAGCAAGTGTCAATGGCAGGTGCTCCCCCAGAAGTGGGGGCGGCGACCTGCAGCAGCTCCTGCTGGGGCCCCCTGGCCAAGCCTCTAGCAGCCGGCTACCTTGTAAGGGTCAGGAAGACGGAGTCAGAATCCTGGTGCTGCCTTCCTTCACTGCTCCAGACGGGGGCGCTCTGGAGGGCAGCGGTGCCCGTGCCCAGCAGGTGGCGCACTCGGGCGTCCCGCCCCAGTTGCGGACACACCTCCGACACACCTCAGTTAGAGGATGGGGATCTCAAGGAGTGCCTCCCTCTGCCGAAGCTGAAGTTCCCCCTAGAGAGGCGTGCACTGATGGGGCAGCTGCCACGTGGCAGGAGGCAAAGGATGGTGACAAGCACCTGCCAGGTCTCAGCAAGGAGTCGTCGATGTTACCCTTTGCCAGTGCTCGTAACATTTTGTGTGCTCCTCCTGTTCATGTCCAGCCCACACTTGTAAGTCACATTATTTTACTTCAATGCGTCCCTGGAATAGACAGGGCTTCTCCAAGTCAGTTGATTTGAAAGAAAGTTTCCTGGCTGATTATGGACAAGACCTGCCCACCCCCAAAACAGGCTGTGAGGACAGTGTTGAAGTGAAGAGCTTGAGGGGTTGCATCTGAGGTGAGCCCTTGGGAAGTGGATCTGGGGTTGTGTGTGTATGGGGACTGGGGAGAAAGGGCCAGAATATGGGGCTTGCGACCTCCTGCCGGGGCCCTGCCCTGCCCTGCCAGGTCCCTTCCTCTCAAGACTGTCAAACAGCCATTTACAGAGAAGAAAACAGCTTGGTGGAGGGCAAGCAGGTGCCAAGACTCAGCAAATCAGTGACCAGGTCAGGATTAAGAGGTTTTCTGCCCACATGCTGGGAGCAGGTGGTGTTACCGCATATAAGAGCAGGCAGCTGAAGCTGGGCTGGGTTGCTTTCGCCTGAGTCTCGCACGGCTCAGCAGCACAGTGGAGGGAGTCCAGGGCCCCCGGCTCCCCACTGGGCAGTACAGCCTGCCTCCTACGCTGATGTCACGGCACCCAGGTCTTGGAGGCCTCTCCGACTCCGCCTCCTGAGGGAAGGTTCCGGAGCAGGGCGTGGGGACGGCAGCAGTGCCGCTGGACAGCCGTCCTGGCCGGGAAAGGAAGGGAGAGGCTGAGAGGCAGACAAGACAGTCACACGGTGAAAACCTGACACATCCAGAGAGACACCCCCCCGCCCCCCCACCCACGGAGTGACTGGCCTTGGAGCAAGACAGAGGAAGAGGGGACGTGTGTCTGCATATTGTCTCCAGCACTGGGTGACCCCTCGGCATTTTGAGTTTGCGTGCAGGTGGTGCTGTGTGCCGTCCGCGAGTAAAGCCAGCAGAGTGGGGAGCTGGGACCCCGGTAAGCATGGGCTATACCCACTGTCCTGGGCACTGGGAGAAGGGGGATCCCGGGCTTGGGCCAGCCTGGAACACCTGCCCCCATAGCCATTCACTCCTGGTCTGGCCTCCTGCCACCTTTGGGATTCCAGCCACAGTAGCCACTGAATGAAACTGTCCTGAGTGGAGAGCCTGGAGAAAAGCAGCTAGCATGGGCATCCAGTGAATTGGTTCAGACCAGGTCACAAATTTAGGGGCAACCATCGAGTGGCAAAGAGAGAGTCTCTTTTGGCCTCTAATACTTCCTTTATCTCTTTCTTTTCTTTTTTCTTTCACTTTTTTTTTTTGTTTTTTTAATTTGAGAGAGTGAGAGCAAGTGTGCAAGCAGGGGAAGGGCAGAGAGAGGGAGAGAGAGAATCCCAAGAGCTCCCCATGCTCATTGTATCTAACTAGAAGTTCACAATCTCTCTCATGTCAGGAGATCAGGACCTGAGCCAAAATCACGAGTCGGACCCTTAACCAACTGAGCTACTCAGGTGTCCCTCTTTTTCTCTCTTTGAGTAAGTGACTTCCTTCCTC